TTGAGTTCCAAGATAAGCAAAGCTTACGTTATGGATACTGGACATTTGATAGATCTACTTAAATACATAATTTTAATAATAATTACCCTACACAAATCACACAGCATGATTTAAACCCAAGTTAAGCGGAGCTTGTGTTATGAGTACTAGACAACTGATACTCAAACATCATCATCATCTGCTTCATCCTTATCCCATTTATTTGGGGTCGGCGTAATATGTTTTTCGCTTCCATTCATCCCTGTTCGCAGTCATCGCGTTATTTACTTCCTTTCTTACCATATCATCTTTCACACAGTCCATCCATCTCTTTTTTGGCCTTCCTCTGCCCTTATAACCATCCACATTCATTTGTAACATCTTTCTTAAAATATTATCCTCGTTCCTACGCATTACTGATACTCAAATATATCTTTTACAAATACATAGAAAACATCCAGACCAATACAAACAACCATATTTATGAACACAAACATTTGTACCATGCGAGGAATCGATCCCGCTACTGAATTAAGGCGGTATGCTTAGCCTTGGACTACAGAGACCGCCTTGTCATTTTCATTTAGTTGTCAGTTGAAGTTAGCGAATTTTGTATGAAATGTAATCTCCAAAACTTACACTTACCTATTTCAAAAATTTTAATAATAAGTACCAAATAAGTTATAAGTTTCCAAATAGATGAACTGCTCCTAGATCAAGTATTCAGTGACTAATATGTGTGTAGTGTTTTTAGTGATATGTTTAAAAGAACGAACGTATAAAATATTGCTTTTGTTTACAATACTTGTAATCTCTTCCGGACTCCTTAATAATATCTTCTTGAGTAGCCGAAAGTAGTAGCTTGAGTAAAAGCAGACAACATTGTCCCGAAAAGCAGCGCCATCCTCTGGATCCAGTTGTATTGTACAAACCATTCAAGACTTTATAATGTAATGTAATATATTATAGATTCTATTCACCGCATTTAGCCTCCCATTATGCAAAACAACCATTATAATAATCATACAAAATTTTATACAAATCTGTCCAGCCGTTTTGAAGATAAGTGACAAACACACTTACAGTACATAACTGAATATATATATTTTTTATAGAAATCTTGATAGATTGTATGGAAGTAGTATTAATAATCTGTAGTACCTCTCGTGATATTTCTAAGAGCAAACTAATGCCATAAAATGGCGGCCAATCCAAAGGGACCTTGAAGTCCCGTGTAATAGATATATAAAAGAAATCTGTAGTACAGTTTACAAACAATCATTGGACATATAATCTAACTAGCTTTTGCCCGCTGCATCGCTCGCGTCAATATATCCTCTTAGGGGTAGAATTCATCAAAATCCTTTCATAGGCATACCTACGTCATAGTAGCTTTTTGCATGCAAAGTCTCAGCCCGATCGGTTTGAAATTGAAAAAGTTTCATATAAAATTTTATCCCCTATTTTATCCCCTTGGGGGTAGAATTAATCAAAATCTTGTCTTAGCGGATGACTACGTCATAACATCTACCTGCATGCCAAATTTCAGCCCGATCCGTCTAGTGGTTTGGGCTGTGCGTTGATATGTAGATCACTACGTCAGTTACCTTTAAGTTACATATATATATATATATAGAATAATTATACTAATTAATTATTATTTCCCCTAAATAAATGTTCGTTCTAGCGTATCATATATCAGGTATTTACTGTTAATGAAAATAAAACAACAACATAGTATAAATCAGATTGCTTTAATTTATTTTAGTTTTATACAAATCGAATACTACTTACGATAGTCAATTTAACGAATAAACATTTTACCCGTTGAGTTTATTTTACAAATTTACCTTTGTATCATTTATTTTGTCATTTATTATAAAAACCTCCATAGGGGCTTTTCATTATAAACTTATATTACACACGTTTGCATTTAATCAACTTACTGCAGTCGTATTAATATTTAATTTAATTTTAATCGACTATGGTTAAGCCAAAGGAACACAATGTGGAGAATTATGAGTGAGAAGAGAAAGCAATGTTGGTCAATATATTTATAGTTAACCCACCATCGATCCATAGGGAAATTTAACGAAAACGGGGTGTCTCCCAACGGGCGGGACCCGAAAGTTTCGCCAAGCTTGGGATTACGGTTCCGAGGGTCGGTCGATTCGTGACTTTTTTATATCGATTTATACAATAATGTATTCGAATCATAGATTATGAGAAACACTTTCGGACAACTTCACGTTCCTTTTTTGAAATTGTAAATAATTAATGGAATGAACGCATTAGTTTTCTTTTTAATCGAGAAACTGCATTGTTCGAAATATAAATTCTTCCCCTATGAATGGATTTTGCGATATAATAGTGATGTAATGCATGATTAAGACTGTAATGAGTCGATAATAAGCTAGTACCCAAGAGATGTGTAATATCATGTCTACAATGCCTAATTGGCGCCAGTGACTGAGTAGCGAGTGATCAATATACTATTATCCAGTGACTGCGTAAATAATATATAATATATATTATAGTTGATATATATGTTAATAGAACAGTTTATCAAAATAGTTTTTAAACGTTTTTTTAATATGGAAAAATATGATTATAGTTTTTTCAGTGGTTAATGGAATAGATGAAAGTTTGTAAAATACAAATCCATTACAAAATCTTGTTATTTGATATTTTTTTCCAGTTATATTTTAATATATCATTTTACATACTGGCAAAATAATTGTGAAAAGATTTTAAATGGTCCAATTCTGTAGTGATGATCAAACATAAAAAAAAATTTGATTTACCCAGTCACCGGAAATAAATTAAACAATAAAAATAATATCTTAAATACTATTTATATTTATAGTGTTGTAAAATTATACAATAGTACATATGTATGGTGGTAAGAATATGTGTATTAAAATTGAAATATTAAACTACGGCGCTCTGAAATAGTTTTTTTTTAAGAATATACATGAAAGTCCAAAATACCTGTTTCACGATTAAAGCATTAAGTTTCTGTTGTGCAGTATAATATATTGTGGCATCTGATGAATATTGTAGCAATTTAATAATAATAAATGATATTGAAATATTATATTATACGGTCCGAGTATAAATTGTATGTAAGGTAACAAAAATTATCACAATCAAGTAAAATAAAACAAATAAATATTAATTAAACAAACCATGAAACTTGTAAATATAATACCAATAACTATACATATAACAATATATAATTTATATTCATCACATGCCATGGATAAAATTATATATACATATATTAGTTTTAAACATATTTGATAGGGTGTAAGTTCAAATGTTTATCAATAAGTTAAAATTGTGTAACAAAAATATATAGAGTTGATAGTAAAAATAAACTGTGCCCCCAAAAATAAACACCTAACAAATATATCTCGCAAAATTAAATAAACATAAATATAACAATATTTTCGCTGTTTATTATAAATATTAATTTAATTAAATAAATGGAAAAAACAGTTCAATTATACTCGTGCATTAAATTCATTATATAAATTTAAATTGAATTATATATATAAAATTCGTAGGAGTTTATTTTCGTAGGCGCACAGCTACTATCAAAATGAAGCTGATCAATTTAAAATCGTAGAGATATGAAAATAATGCGTATGCAATACACAAAGATAGTTGCTACTCGCAGATGCGGCGTCAGTTCATTTGTACGTTTATTTATATCTACCCGGTCCCGAGCAGGCGTTTATTCATTTCTTTTATATGTAGAACATTCTACACGTGTTATATATTGTATATTTAAATTTATATACTACCGGGCCACAGCTGGACGCCGTGCAAACATGTCACAACCTTTCATTTATTTTTTTAAACAAAATAAGCTTTTAAAATGGCTGATTGGCCCCCAACTGCGACCCAGCAGAGGCAACATTTACGTTAAATTACATGTTAAGAAAAACCCTAGTTCGTTTTATTTTTACAATAATATTCTCAACTTTTATCCTTTATTTATAAACCTATAACCCAACTTAACGTCGACTTTTATAAATCCTATGCTTTGGCACTAACAAATCTAATTAGATATTAATTTTACATGTTCATTACACCTCATCAACACTTTCCGATGTTAATTTACATATAATAATTATATAATAAAACGTATTATACATGTATAATGATAATAATATGAGTTTCATATAGAATATGTAATAATTTAAATTAACAATACACGCAATAGGATTTTCTAATAAAATCAAATGCCGGACTAAAATATATATAGTTCATGATATTATTTGAGCACCACTCGGCATATTCAATAAAACAGGATCATAATAAATTCTTTTTCAATCATAACATATATATGCAATTATAATTCTGTCACAATATTTTCAATGATAAAATCCAAGTAAAACCTAACCAATATAATGTGCACAAATTTCTAAAACAAAACAGTTTTATATTGAAATAATAAATAACATACGTTTAAATTGGGTCATTCAATTTTTAATAAACACAAACGGTACACAAAATGACTTCACACATACAATCGCACATAACAGTTCGATGATATATATATATATATATTTATAACAAAATGCCTATATTCGAAAATTTATTATAAATAACACATCAAGACGCGTATTAAATAATTACTTCACTAGTAAGTGAGCCTCATAATATACACACGTCACTTTAAATTACTTTACCCTAACGGGACACGACAAATACTAGGCTATCACGACATCTATAAGAGTGAAATCGAGGAACGGACATAGATAAAGTTGTGAATTACTTGTTAAAAATATGCCTATGTTACGATATAGATACTACGGTATGCACTAAGGATACTAATAGAGCAGTGTCACGAATTTTTGTTATGTTTAATAAAGAAATAGATTTCATTTGTAGCAGAGAAATAACCCTGGAAAACTCATATAGCGTCAGCCAGTCAACTAAACAAAGCAGAGCTGTAAATACTTAAATAGTTTATTTTTGAAACCCAGAACGTACAAGCGTATATATTCGTCAATACAAATGTTTATATTGTGCGGGGTTCGAACCCGTAACCTAAGAAAATAAAACAATATGCAAAAAACACAAAGGTCGTCTTCCGTTGAAATAACCCGCAAAATCAAGCAAGTGCCTGACAAAACTAAAATGAGCGATTGACAAATTGCTTGATAGAAAAACATTAATGTTTAATAAATTGTGTGATTCAATACCGAAACAAGGCATTTTCTACTTGGCTGGATAACTCAATAAAGGGTCCTTAGAAAACACCACGAAAATTCGTACACCGCGGCGCTTGATGTCTCTTTGAGCTTTTATTGGAGATTTCATTTTCAGTGCCTGTGTGCAGAGATCGTATTACCCAAAAAGACATACTGACAGACGTCCTAATCGGTAAAATATTTTACTAGTCTTTTTCCGCATTTTCTATATTTTATGTACAAAATACACATCGTGATATATTTAATAATATATACAATTACTGATAACTGGTGATTAGTGATATTGTAGCGCTATCGGATACACTTAATATAACGTAAGCTATTGAACGTACTGCCAACATTTTTTCTATGTCTGCGTGTATACTAACACTATTAAACATTGCAAAAACATAAACAGAACAAATCCTTTACATTCTATATTCATTATATACTTTTCATTCTTCTAATATGCAATATTTGTGACTACAATATCTATAAAACAAAATTTAATTTCGTTTAAATGAAATCAATCTTTCAAAGTGTTTATTATTTATTTCAGACTGATATCTTTTAAATTCATCATTATCTGTGTCTTACTATCTCACTAATCTACCATTACTTTGGTTCTTTTAATCACTGCATTTATCAATTCCATTGCTGTAAATTCCTGATATTAGGTAGACACTCGCAAGAAATCAATTTTAAGGTCACATATAACATTTCTCACTGTTCCTAGATGCAATACTCTTACAACATAATCTAATGTAGGCTACTGTGTCTCAATTCTACCTTTACTTGATCCATTATGTTATGTACAAGTTACTTAATACCCTAGGGTAATGTCATCGTCTGTGATCCCTCAATTGTTACTATAGAGGATACAGTCACCACTTTGTTTATAATCTACCTTATGGAAACGAGTTCTGCTTCATTTATCCTATTAATTCTTCCATTTCTTACTTTGGTACAAAATATATTTCAAACAACTTCCCAAATGCTTCCATTAACATATTAAATTGAATATCAGTACGATCTTTGACGCTTGCAGCACATCTGTCAACCAAAGTGCATCAATGTTCATACCTGGGCAACACATTCCATCTGTCCCATTAACTAAAACTTCATTTATAACCTCTTTATCCGTATTAATTAGAAATATAATTATATAATTTAACAAATTATACTCGTCAACATTAATCTGTATAACATTCTAGTTAACATCACAATCGTTTAATAATATGCTGGACTTAACTACGCTATTTAACGTATTAAGGTATTTATATTTACCGTCTTTCGACTTAGTTAATGGAGACGTGTGCGTTTCAACCACGTATTTAGTTATAGTATTATACATAATTATAATTACATCGTTCGGCGAAGTCTAAGATTAGTTCTCTCGTAGTTGGGGCCAGCGGGCACTGGCGGGGGTCACCGGTGGGCGACGTGGATTACTGCACGATGATATGCGGCGCCGACAACAGCACGGCCACCGTTGCGATAATTGTGAATAGAGTGAACACGAACAGGCAAAACCTGGTGACAAGCATATCCTAATTAATACTAATAAACACTGTATAGAAAATAAATACATAAAGAATATTAACGACATCAAATCAAGATCAAATTGTATTCACATTGAAGAGATTATTATGTTTTCCAACAATATTTTCTCCTTTTTCCCCTATTTATTATTTACTATACTGATAGTAAGTACACTAATGCCATCTAAACATCAAGATCAAACAGACTAGAAAATGAGAGGTCGTAGCGTTTCTGGTTTAATACCCAGAATAACGCTCAAGAGGTCAAAAATTCAAAACGGCCTGACGCCGTAAAAAACTTGTGTGTCAATTTATATTTCTGACTCTCCAATGAAGGAAGCAGCGATATCAAATCAAATTAATTCGCGAGACCGCAATAGGCCCACTACTTGCCCAAGTGGCAGGTGGCGGGCACACCGCCATTTCAAAATATACCGAGCGAAATGTGGACATGTCAAGTGTTGCTTTCACCGCAACATTCACAGTCGGTTGACAATGCTTCTAACTACCCCATCTGGTATGGTATGCTTGTTTTTGTTTATTATAGTTAGAAACTCTTACATTGTTATTTACAGTTAATATTGTTATTATTTATTCGCTTCTTGTTTGAACTGATGTATATAGAAGTTACTTCTATAGCAATAAAGGCTTTATATGTAGCTACGTGCTCAATACAATTATCAAATATTCAGGTCTCAAAGACCAAAAAGTAAAGTAATAAAAGCAGTATTTGAAAAGGGTTCGGAGTTCAATAAGCACGTGCTAAAACTGGACTGAAATTCACACCTCTAACTTTAGGAATTGTTAAATACAAAAGTTTTCCTTTCTGTAAAAAATTACAAATTTGTAATATTAGTTAAATCGTTGTAGAAAAATTTAAAGGAAACTTTCTTTTTCAGAAAAAAAATTGTTATTACGATCACTTGATTTGTATTTTTCTCAGTTAAAAAGAGAATAAGATAAAATATTACAAGCAATGAAAAGAGGAAATAAAAGTATATCAATAAAAACTCTCGACAACGTTACAATATTACAAAAATGTATGAACCTATGAAGAATGCAGAATCTTTGGCTTTATTTCTTTATGCACTATTTTTTTATTGTATTCTATTGTTTCTCACAGATTCGCGTTAAATTCTTTAGGAAATAGGTCAACAAGTATTCAATTCTAAAATATACAAATTATATTCTTTGCTTGTTTAAAATCTATAATATAACTATACATATAAATAAAATTGGAGTGTCTGTTTGTAATATTGAAATAACCGTTTTTTACTACATGCATATGAATATAAATACGGAACATACACCAAAATAACATTTTTAACAATTTTTGTCTGTCTGTCTATTTGTTCCGGCTAATCTTTGAAATGGTTGAACCGATTTTGACGGGACTTGTTTTGGCAAGTAGGTAATAAGGAGTAACTTAGACTACTTTTATTTTAGAAAAAATAAAGTTAAATTCCACGCGGACGAAGTCGCGGGAACAGCTAGTCTATAATATATTAATACGTAAGGCAAATATTTTCACCACTTCTTACGAAGATTGCGTGGGCGGAAGAAGGCGTGCAGAATACAAATATTTTTTACTTTTGCATATAAAATACATTAAACTAATTATAAAAACATTACATTCACATATATATGACACATATACGCATATATACTATATGTATAATTTTTTGTCTTTAATATTATACCTAATAATGTTCAAACTTCTAATTTAAATTAATCACGGTCGTATTTCGATTTCTGAACGACAACTAGATATAAGAAAGCGATGATAAATTTAAAAATTCTAGAAATCTGAAAACATTTAGATAAGACTTTCGTATTTTAATGGACTAAGCTTACAACTCAATAACAAGTCGGTACCTGTCAACAACCATCGCAGCGAATTTCCAGTCGCTGATGAGCTCGGCCTCTTCGTCGGCCTTTTTCATCCTCGCTGTGATGAACTGCAGCTCCCTGAGGATGAGGTGGAGCTCCCTGTGGTGGCTACCGAGTCCACCTCCCACATCCTCCATGGTCGACGGCCGCACGAACGACCGCCGGAAATCCGTGCGAAATATTGAACACCTGTTGGAATTACTCATTATATAATGTCAACATTGTTCACCGTAATCTCTAAGAGAACTAAACCCATAGACCACCGAGACCGTCCCTCGGTCGCCCCCTACCTGCAATTGGCCGAAAGCTTGATTGGCATTAAAGTCATACAAAAATGTGTCTCTTAGAACATGAAACATTCTAGTCAATTAATTTTACGACCTGCAATTGCTAATTAAAGAAAAAAAAATACCCAAAAACTGTGTTACATTTTCTTAAACTATACAGCATCAAGTTGCTAATTTAAAACGAACGAAAACGAAACGAGACGAAAAAAACATAAGATTTCTAAAAGTCCTAAAGTCTAAAGATATAAATACTGTAAGCACTGATAACATAATAGTACATATACGGTAATATAGAAGAGATAGTTTAACGATAAGACCTCCTTTTGTTTTAGTTTATGAACACTTATTATTTTGTTCTCAATATCCATAAAGAGTGTAAATAAATAAATTTAAATAAAAGTAAAAGAATCACCAAATTTTTCCAAGCACTAAATCCAAAATGACACAAATGAAAATAATTACAGTGCTGTAATCGTTTGGACTGGAGACCAAGCTATATAATTAAAGTCATCAATCACTCCCATAGCAAATGTGGTGTAGGTATTAAGGAATGAGGCAGCAACTCTAAGACAGGGCTTCAATCTAGAATTTTAGGCAACAAGTAATCAGATGTTCGCAAATTTAATTGATACATAGCTATGCATACTAAATTAAAACAGTTATTTAAATCAAATGAAATCCAAATCAAAAATAATTTATTCATGTAGAATGCATGTTAGTCGCTTATGAACGTCAAGTGTTCTGTATTAATATTTTTCCCTGCCGTCCAGTTCAGTATACAGATTCAATTGCGAACAACTGGCAAGAAACTCAACTGTATTTAAAAGTCAGTTTATTTTCCTTGTTTACTTATATAGGTGTCTATGTCTAAGGTTCAATGAAAATCCCGTACATGTAGCGCTATTTTCATACACGTTTGTCATTTAAGTAATCAATACAAGTGAGTAATATGCTTTGCTTTTTTGTTAATAGGCTTTAGGAGTCATCTTTATTAATTTAATAATAAATAACAATTATTTGTTTAGAGACAGTTAATTTGTCAGCCTGTCTATCCCGCCTACTTAACTTTAGATAAATGTTGTTCAGAATTTATGAATTACCATAGCTAGCAATAAGTAAAGAAAGAGATATATTGATGAATTATGATTTTTAAGAATATCATAGTGATTCGATTTTCGTACGTCAGTACTGAAACTGTGTATTAGAGGAAATATAATTTTTGGTAAATTTCGTTATTAACATAACGCTCTCAGCTTTTATCTACGTACTCTAAAATAATACGAGCATATATATATACTGTAGGCAGGCCTCGGCAGAAAGTTCATTCCACAATCTAGGCTAGCAATATGTACTGATCAGGTTTTAAAAATACGTACTTATATAGCCCATTCATTGAGCAATGTTCTAAGCTATATATCACGCTACGATAGGGGACGAACTACAATGAAAAATTATTACAAAAACGGGGAAAATATGACCATATGCGTTGCGTTAGTTTATTATATTTGAGTAACTATTTTAATACCAAAACGTTAGACTCGTCGCGAATATGTAAATTCCGTTACAACTCTGTGAACACTATTCTGAATTATTTCTACGGACAATCAATCATGCGGCCCATTTATATACTTAATTACTACCATCCGTAGTCTGTGTGGGCAGTTAGGTACAAAATTTGCTTGAATTTTAAATAAAACTTCAAGCAAATGTTGACCTAACTGCCCATTATTAAGGTAACCAAAAATTCAGAAGTAATGCTATAATGAGTGACTGGAGGGACGATTTCAAATGCACTGCCGTAGTGGGGTGTAGTAGGAAGGCTGGATGTATTTACGAGAAACATCAATGAATGTATGCCTGAAACACCAGCAGCGTCACTTGCGCCTTCCTGATCCTTTAGAAACCTTAATATATCATAGAAAACTCCCTTGCTGTAGTCTCTAGAGAAAACCTCGGCAGGAAGTTCATTCCACAATCCAGGCTAGCAGGGGGGAAATGGGATTGTTAGTAATGTGGACTAATGAACCCATTACTAGCAATGTACCATATCAGGTTGACCTCCACGCGGTTCCCCCTGGAAACCATCGTGTTAAATTCCTGGTGAATTTGTCACGATGGGCTAACTGACCTGACCTCATGCTCATATTATCACCCTCCACTGGTGCCCCGCCAGCGTAAACCGTTAGCGCAGGCGGATGCACCATTCCATTATCACATACAAAAAAAAAATCCAGGCTAGCAATATTCACTTACCCTGGCCCCAAATTCCCTGTAGATGCCGTACTATTAGGCGGTGGCGGGGCATGTCTAAAATCATCATCGATATCCAACACATTGGCCAACAGGGACTTAGATGAACGTTCTTTAAGCTCCAGTTCACGCATTCTATTGGACATCATGATTGTCTTCCGCGTTATCTTCTTCCCTGGCCTGGACATGCGCAGTATCCATGGCAACCATTGCAGGAACACTGTTTTTATCTGTTCGATGGAACGTATTGTTAATATTTTACATAGTATAAAACAAGTCGCCGCCGCTGTCTATAAGCTAATATCTTCAAAATTATGCAACCTTATGTATTATATTTAATTTAGTATTCGTAAATAGAACGAGTCATACAAGAAAAAGATGTATATGTATAATACATGCATATTATAGTACTAAAAAGTCATAACTTCATTTTAATGCATGAGTGCATTCCAGGGCGAGTCTAGTATACTTATATAATGAACTATCAAAACATATATGTCTCGATAGTTCAGTAAGATTATATTAAAAATAATCTGCTGACAAAGGATTTTAGAAAATTTCAACTAACTGATTAATAACTTAAAATGAGTTGTGCAAACCCACAAGAAACAACTAGTATTTTAGTGCAATTATTCGTTAATTTCTATACGTGGTCGATGCCTTTAGGAAACATGACTGCTTCAGAAGTATCTCATATTGGAAACATCTCATCTCATTCCCAGGGGGGAGTGTTGTGTGGGCTGTTGACCCCATTGCTAGCAAGTATTGCATAGTCAAGTTGATCTCCACGCAGTCCCTGTAAACCATCGTGTTAAATTCCTGGTGAATATATCACGATCAGCTAACTGACCTAACTTCATGTTCAGTTTATCAACCTGCACTGGTGCCCCGCCAGTGTAAACCGTCAGCGCAGGCGGGTGGCAATATTCCATTATCAAAAATCTTATATATGTATACTGTATATCTAGAGAGGTAGATAATTAATTGTACAAAATGTTCGTAAATATACAATTACGATCTTTGTATTATCCATACAAAGCTCTCAATGCTCTGAATGTGGAAACAATGTCACGAGATATTCGTAACGAAAAACAAAACCACATTGAAAAATAAAAGGAGCTCGCAAACATTTAGGAGTACAATGGTCCGGACAGTAACGCGTCTATTTTTACAATTTGTTCGGCGTTTTTTTGGGAGATTATTACAATATATCCGTACCCTCTTTCAGAAACCTGGTAAAATCTTCCATTCTCTTCGTACCTAACTGTGTGACTACTTTCCTCTTTATTGTTCGCATTTCCGACTTCAAAAGAGTATGATATGCATTTATTGTTTTTTTTAATGTACGTTGTAATATAATTATTAATATTATTATATGGACTACCGTGTTACATATACAACACAGCCCTATTAAAAAGTGTCGAAGAGCAGAACTTGCATGCGCCGAAGAATGAATGAAAGTGCAATGTCCCAATTTAAATATAGTAGTTGGACAGTTTTAATCGAAATATTGTTAATTTCATATCAAATTTCTGAATCGTTGACTATTTTCTTGTAGCAACTGTGGTTTGCGTTACGATTTCTGAGGTACATTCGTTCGAACTTTGAACGATGTCACACATATTGTAGTTATAGTTTTAGGTAGTAACAATGTAGTTTTTTAAATAAAATTTAATTTAAATCAAACTCATTGTTTTTTTTTATACTCGCTAGATGAGACTGCCGATATTAACATTTGTGAAGTTAAAGTCGAACACTATTATCAACATGAATACATTTTTGGTACAAGAAATACATTGTATGGAATTAAAGAAATATTTGTTTTAAAAATGAATAACTTACCCACTGTGGCATCTCATGTATATCAGCTGTTCGATGGTGGTAATTTAATACCACCACAGTCAATACCACAGATGATGCCACCATGAACATGATGCAGTTGAAATACGTTCCTGTTACACGCAACAATAAGAAAAATATTATAAAAGGAATCATAAACATGATATAATTGTTTGAAAATTTTAAAATAAATATTTTAATGATCAAACTTTTCATATACATCTACAAGATACATACATACATTGAAAAATTTATTATAGTGCATCTGAGCTTCGTGGATTACCAACAATAATTCCTTAACATTACCATAATAAGAAAAAAACGAGGTCATCAAAATTAATATTGAAATAAATAAAAACTTTAAGGAGAAAATTAAGTACTTCAACGTTAATTTAAGTATTTAATTCATATTTATGTTTTATCGTTTACGTATAGTTTATGTTATAACAAATTGAAGATTTATAAACGTTTATAATTTATTTTTAATAACATACAATGGCACAGAAACAATAAAATTCATGCATTTTAGTTGAACATGCGTAGTTTACTACGGTTGTGAGGTTAAGCTTTTGCAGGTCACATCAGCGAATGGCTCATTACTAAGTATTTTGCACACTTAATCTACTCGTATTAAGTTACAAAATGAATGATAATGCTCATAAATTACTATGATAAAATTTAAAATGCGACGAATAATCACAAAACAATATATACATGTAGTTTTGATGTTCACCTTATTTAACTGTCCCGTTGAATAGGCTAGTGTTTTAATTATTTCTTTTGCAAACTTTGGTATCTATTATGTCATTATACTTTGTTAGATTTATTAAATATATTTAATTAAATAACACTAGCCTTTTCAAAATGATTTAACACTCCTATAGCATAAGCATATTTTAATAATTCAGAAGTTAATTTGATTGTTTAAACAACTTGTGCTATAAGAGTTACCCTGAAATTGATAAAGGAATTCTGCTTGTTATCTCCAGTTAATCCCTTTGTCAATATGACAGTAAGTTTATTAACAGTCAATTATAGTGAGGAACAGACCAGACAAAGTTGCAAGAGCCGATGTTCGCGAGATACTTGGAGGCTGGACCCTCTTTACCCGCATCCACTTTGTTGCTATAAACCGCTGTTTAACTTTATATCCTGCTTTTAAACTGCTACAAGCAAATCAAACCTACATATTTATAAGCGTATTTACATTTAGTTTTAACAGGAGAGTTGTGCATTTAGACTCTGTCATAGTTAGCTCAGAAAAATTACATGCTCAATATCAAAACGTGACGTCAGCAGTCGCATAAATGACCTCTACATTACTCAATAGGCCAATCGGAATAGAATGTAGAATAAAGTAAAATAGGAAACACATGAAAAGAAATTTGAATGTATGGACAATAGAGGCAAGTGTTGACACAAAGATGTTAAATTATTTTAATACATTACAAGAAGATCGGATGCCTGGATTCGAAAAACTTTTCGAAGAGATCCTTTTTATATGATGATTTCATATCTCTAATAGTACAGCTAATATTTTTCTAGCTTGTACGGAAAGTGCAATAACTCTATATCAGGTGTCGAGAGCTGGCAAGAACCCTGTAAAAGCATAGAATAATCTCCAGAAATACGGAGGCTCTAAATGCAAGTTGAAGTTAGGAAAAGTAAGAATATACGTTTCTTTTTAGTTTTAGATATTTCAAGCATACGGTAGCATTCTATTTAGATCTTTGTTAAATTGGTGTTTCAAGAATGTGCAGAGGAATATACTAGAAACAAAATCCACGTTTACTTTGTCCAGAATCCTGTAACAGGTTGAACAGTAAATATTCCTCGCAACACATTCTTATTTATTTGTTTTAAGAAAGAATCTATTTTTATTATCAATTCATTTGTTTATTTTAACAATCGTTTAGATTAAGAAAAATTTTGGCAGTGAACGCGTGGACGTTTCTCACCTATTAGGGGGATCGCCTCTGAGGTTTTTGTGATGACGTGCCCCACCAATAGGGAGAAAACAGTTTGCGACAGGAGAATTGTAACACCTGCAAAGATCAATATCATATTCTATAAAAAATAAAATGTTCTATTTACAACGTTATCCACAAAACCTATAAGCATAGTTCGTGTCCCATCCAGTAATGAAAATGATACGAGTACTTTCATACGAGTAATACAAGACCTCATCTCCTGTTAGTGTGCTGAGTCGGTATCAGGGGCTCAAGTCAAATCATAAACAAAACAAAACCAAGTAGTCATGCATACACTATTTAAGAGAGGGTTTTATGCAGTTTTTAATTATTTAGTTACAATAAATTATTAAAGTTAGTGTTAGTAACAGAGGGGTTGATTTGTTAAAACTTTTATATCTTACACCACCCTCCAAGTATCTATACCGTGACAGCCACAGTATTATGGTTGAACTTCATGATAGAATGGAATATTAATAATTTATTAACAACACTGAAAACAAAAAAATGTACAAAGAAATTTTACACACCGTGGAATCGATTACGCGTTACAGTGATAACAAAGTGACAGATAAAGTAAATACAATCGTGAAACATCGAGAAGAAGTAACACTGATATGTATAAAATATTAACTTACCTTTTCAATCCAGTGTTCTTAAGGAAAATAATCGTCAAAGTTATATTATGAAATCATGCGCCATGCCACTCCTCGTGTAAACATTTGCGGTACCATTAGAAGAAACGGTAATATTTAAATTCCTCGAAAATTAGTTGATAATGTAGCAACGAAGCTTGAACCAAGAACCGCGAAATCGACTCCAAGATATGGAAAAATACGGCAAAAGAAAATTCTTTCTTCTATGAATATTCCACATCATTTTGCTTTCGATGAAATGCTTGAATCTCATATTTACGATCAAAAATTATAATTACAATTATGTAAAAAGCAAAAAGCATGATTCGATTAATAAAATCTATTAACTCCCAATAACTTGTTGATACTGACAAAATAATATTATACGATTAATGACATTTAAGCTTACAACCATTTAAAGCTAAAATATTTAACGTACATAATTTACTCCTTGTAATGTTTTAAAATAACTTGTAATTTAAATTTATTTTATAAATAAACAATAATGAGAGCTGAAGAAAACAATACATAAAAGTAAAATAAAATAAACAATAAGAATGTGATTCCAAATAAAAATAACATGGGATTAGAGGATGAAACTTTAAAAGTAGGGAGAGGTTTGGGTAGTGTACCTAACAAGGGGATTGCGTCGGAGACCTGCGGCAGGGTCTCGGCTACCAGGTTGAGGAACACCGTCAGCGAGAGAAGAATAGTGACTCCTGCAATCAAACACATTGTTAACACCCTGGCGATGCTTCTCCTCTTTTCAGATCAACCGCGTACTATTCCGTGTAGCAATTTTACACAACTCTCCAAACGTTCTAAATTTTTCTTTGTAATAATCTCAAAAATAAGTACGGTTGTAATTTTTTAATGAATGATGATGAATTTGGAATATATCACACTGTGTGGTGTCTACTCCATATAATACTTACCGATGTATATACATACTCTGACTCTGCAACGTCGAGGGTGTACTAACACGGATACAGACAGTCATACCACACTCTAGAGACAATCTAATATTCATTTTAAATGCACGTTGCTTCCCACCTCGTGTAAAAATATTTAATCATGTATTACAAGTTCTCAGCTAGATCCATTGAATTGACGATCAAAAACTTGTTATCGGAAATTTAAAATTTGTTCTTGCATGTATCAGATGTAATATTTAGTTTAAGAACGATACAATACTGCTGTTATGTAGTCAAGATTTCAGTCACCAGTAAGAAATTAAACGTTGAAAATTTTGGCATTCAACTTTTTGTTGTTTTTATTCTGCAGGAAGCATCGTGCATCTTTAGTATCACTGGTGTCTCCTACAATGCAATACCTATAAGAGGAACTGCGTCCGATGTCGAGGGCATCTTTTCTGCCACCAGGTTGAGAAACACGGTTAACGACAATAATATCGTCACACCTGTTGACACCAGCGAATATATGTATACCACGCTGGTTTTTATTATTTACAACATTATTTTTTAGTCCTATATCATCTCAGGCTTCTATTTTTAGTACATTTTCACACGTTCTTTCGCCAGGTATATCAACATTTAATTATTCATTATATAAAAATGTATAATTTGAAATTTTATGAATTACAATTCTTAACAAATGTATATAAATATTACTTACCTAATGTAAGTTTCTCCCCCGAGTCAGGAGGTAAAGTGAAGCCCAATAGCGCCATAGAAGAGATGAGAACACATGGCACTATCAAGTTGAAGAAGTAATAAAGAGTTCGTCTCCTAATCATAATGGTGAAGGTCACGTCGACGTACGGCTCCGGGCAACATGCGTACGTTATGGTGTTCTTTTTTCCAGGCATTCCTATTGTAAAGTAAACAAATAAACAATTACCTTCAAAATTTTATTTTCGTAATAAAGTCACTTATTTTATATATTTCATTCAAAGTCTTGATGAAATAATACATATTTTTTTTTGCATTATATTTTTTTCATGTAGTGGGAATGGCATACAAGCAGATAGTCTACATGATGGTAAGTGGTAACTATCGTCTATATATATAAATATCACGTTATCATGTGACACCCTCAATACCACTCATGTTTTATCATTCCAGAGGGTTGAGGTCACATGACTTCTATCCAGTAATTTTCTGCCTAATCTACATCCTACAACCTAAACACAGTTTACAATTTAATCTATATAGATATCTATGGTAATATTATATTTTTTTAACGATAATATGTAGTAATACATATGCAGATAAAAAATATGTACTTGATAAACAAAGTAATTATATAAATAGATCTAATTATATGATTCTAATCCATTTTTGATCAAATAAAATATACGTATACAATAAAAAATGACCAAAAAGAAGAACTGCATGATGGAGAACTTACCTATCAAATACCATTTGACAAACAAGGTAATGATATAAATATATCTAATTATATGATTCTAATCCATTTTTGATCAAATAAAATATACGTATACAATAAAAAAAATGACCAAAAAGAAGAACTACATACTAGAGGACTTACCTATCAAATACCATTCTCCATTCGTGATGAAGTCAGACAAATCACCGCCCGCTTCGTCTTTTAGCACGAGATCCAACTGTTAGAAAATCAACAACTTATAACTACGTCAAACACACAAACGATGTAAAATAATTAGGGAACAAAACATGCAAATTCTTTTTCATGCTGTTGATTTAAATGAAAATGGATTTATCCTAATAGTCTATGGTAATTAAAGGGAAATGTGAGAACCTAAAACACAATGCTAAACTATTGGTTAGATGCAGTAACAAGCATTAATAATCATGAGTAAAATATAAAATTACCGCCATACGTTACGCTACTTATTCTTTTAATTACAATATCACATTTAACTTAACTACTTACTGCTTCAAATTGAACGATATTGGCATCTGAAATTGTGACATGAAGAGTTTTTTCTAAAGATGCAATTATAGTGATCCTAATCACTATAATTGCATATACGGACATAAATTTAAGATAGTTATCTATAGGTTTCTGGAAATACAGCATACTTTTACAAGTACTAAGCTTATAATAATAATAATATATTATAACAATATTGTCCCATATTAAAGACAAACATATACAGAAAATAATAAAATATAAAATGAAATGCAATATTATTTTAAAATTTCAACAAGAATTTATAAAAACAAAGAATTTGTTATAATTTGAAAACAGCCACAATTCACAATTAAGGATATCAAACCGAACTATTACTACCTTAATTTTAATGTTACAGACAAATTAATAAAATAAATTAGAAGAATTCCTAATTACAAAAGACAACATATAATAATTAGGGTTACACATGCATTACATATAAAAGTAAAACATTAAATTATGAAAACTTTATATTATTTTGTATTGTTTATATTTCACAACATCAAAAAAGAGTAATTAAAAATTTACACTTAATTTTCTTTTGAATCTCAATTTGACCTCAATATTTATCTTGGATATATAGTAATAAATTCATAATCAAATGTTATTGATTTATGTATGAATATAATTTCTATTTAGGATGGACGAAGCAAATATTATCTTACTTTCTACATAAAAAGTGAAAATGTTCAACAATACACTGAACTTTATATTCATATACAGGACAAAGTTAGATTAAAATACTTGTTAGCAACACACAAAACATAATAAGTTAAAAACTAGGGAGAGATTATAAACTTAGAACTGCAACTAAAATAACTACATTTTGGAAATATTTAGTTATTTTGTTGAAACTTCTAACGATAACACAGCAGTAGTTACGACAAATATCATGCGCATGCAAACTAATTAAACATAAAAGCTTTACATAATGTTAATATAATTTTGTAAAGTCCAACAACACTGATATTAATATCATGAATAATGTACACGAACCTTTTAAACAAAATCTAGTTTTAAATACTTAAGTTGTTTCCAAGATTATGTATATTTGAATGTACATAAACATTTGGCATTGAGTCAATTGTAAATATAAGTGAATGTATTAAAACAATATCTTATTTTATTATTCTCATGATTACCAAAGCAAGATATTACGCCTCATAAAATCTCACTCATCATAACATTGTGTAAAGCTGTTATCATTTATCTTACACGTTACTTTTCACGTATCCGTATGGCAGTACGAAATCCGTTCCATATTTTTACATTTTATGTATCAGATGATATAGTCGTTTGCTCCATGCAAAATAGTACATACAAAACACTTTGGATATATAATATCCTTTGAGTTTCTCACATGGTTCCCTTATACTCCTAAATCCTAACCCTATACCTACAGATAACATTAGGAACTTAAGAATTTAAGCCAGAAATTATCATGAGATAACTTGTAGAACATATTACATGACATGTTGAAATCCCAGAATTATAGCGGATCCCATTAAATAGCACACTTTGTAAGCATCCGTCACTATTACCAAGTAAACCGTAAAACTAATGGTAGTCACTAATTTCGAATGCAAATTACTTAGTTCACAACCAATTATTGTTAACGACACATATTAGCCTCAAAAGCAACGTTTTGTACGAGATAAATCTGGCGGAAGTAATGTAAGACTTGTTGGTTCAAATCAGCAAATTATCGCAGAGTGTACGCTGTACCTGGTTGCCGTCATAGGTCCAGCTACCGAACTTCATATCACAGTGTTGGTCGTCGAAGGGGAACCAAGTGATGTCTATCTTGCATGTGCTCTTGAAAATGCCCGGAGGCACGTACAGGCAACTGCCGTTGTTTCTGACCACCACGTTGGTCTGGTAGGTCCCGTCAAAACCCTCGTCAGCACTATGATGTCAATGAGAAAGATACGTCACTGCTTGTTGTTACAATCAGTATACGCTATATTCCAACTGGCTTTTTATAGCCCTGATACTGTATTAATTATCGGAATTTTTATTCAATATCGTTTATAATTCACATAGGTTAATTTTGTAAACATTTTTATTTTATTTTTTTAATTTATATTAATAATGTTATTAAGAATATTTACGTCATTTTAATTTACTGACCCTAATCAAGTCCCTTTCGCTTTGCAAACAAACCTCACTGGAGGCATCTTTGATCAATAACAAGCCTTAAAATTTCATTAAAAAGTTCCTTTGAAGTTTTCAGAGAATGTACCCAAGACATCACAAGTTGTTACAAATTCGGCGTTATTAATTCTTAAAAGTGTTTTAATATAAGCTGCGAACAAATTAAACGTTCTCTCTAATACAGCCGTATAAAACATTTTCAATATGTCTCCACTAAATTTAGTAAAATAAAAACAGAAAAATTAATAGTTAGTACTATTTTATCTGTTGTAAAGGGTATAAAATTATTTATCGTAATACTAATTTTTATCTGTACAAATATTTTATATTTATTTAATATTTTTAAGGAAAGGAAGCAGCGTTAAAATTAAATAGAAAATAGAAGAAATATTTTGTTATAGTCAGGTTTATTTAAGCGTTTATAGTGCGATGGATTCAACGGGTACCATTTAAAAGTCTGCGCTGTCAGTGATAAAGCGAATTAAACAACAAAAAGTATTCATTTATCATTGACAACGACAGAAATCATCCTCGCGCTTCACCAGGCCACAAAAAACACATCAATCGTTCTTCCATCGCTTCCTTCGAAACTGTAAAAGGACGATTTCACTGTGCTGTTATTATAATGGTCTGACAAGCGAAACGATGACCGTGGTGGCTCAAATCAGCGACTAGCTCACCACATACGGTTATGTTTTGTTTTTAGGTGTGGCAACAATGAGTAGGAGACGGTTAGACTCAACGCAGACGATTGTTACTTTTTAAAAAAGAATGAAGACATATAATGAAGCCATGTTAAAACACTCGTTTTGACAGAACCCAAATTACTGTAAAATTTATTGTTATCTCTGTCTTTCGCATTATAGAATTATAATTTTATCCTGTCCTCAAAACGGGTATATTAAAATGGCCGTACTAGTAAGTACCAATCGTCATATTCGGATTTATCTCCTACTTTGTTGTCACTGTATACTGAAAAAAATTATGGGTTATTTTTAGAGAAATGCAATATAACAGAAGAGAATGAAATAAAGAAGTAGAAGTATTTTTAATTAGAAGTTATAAGAACTATTAAACAGATTTAAACATTAAAATTTAACAATTTAATGTAAATTTTAATACTGTTACATAAATTAAAAACTATTTAATTTGATTTTACGCTATGCATGAATGAACGCAAAGGCACCAAAATACGCAATATTTTTTTAATCATAACTTAATTTGCAGTTATAATCAATAGCATTTACAATAACTGCATTATACCATTATGTACATATACATACTCATTCCTTATCCCATTTATTTGTGGTCGGCATAATACGTTTTTCTCTTCCATTCGTCACTGTTCCCAGTCATCTCGTTTTTTACTCCCTTTCTTACCATATCATCTTTCATATATAATGATGTACATGTACATATTGATATTATCTAACAGAGCAAATATAAAACAAAACTGAACATATATTTAACTTTAAACCGTGGAACAATCACGAAATTAAATTTTTCCTTTTTATAATATAACTATATACAATCTTAGTTTTCTAAATAGCACGCTAGACAGTTACAGAAACAGCGCATTTAACGGCAAGTACTGTAAACCACAGTTAAACAGCAATTTGTCTGACGCTGTCTCGCTGTCTGCCCTCCAGTCTGGCTCAAAGTCTAAATGTAGATCTAGATTATTGCACCGCCACAGCTACACAGTGGAACTTGCTGGAACAAACTTAAGGCTACACTTGCCGCTAATATTATAAACGTAAAAGTGTGTCTGGATGTGTATGTGAAGGTTTCTTAATGTTTAACGTAAAATCTACTTTAAAATAATATAGGACCCTGGAATAATATATTTTGGTTTATCAGTTGGCAACACTGCTACTTTAAATAGTAAAAAAAAAATAGTTCGTGGTTCATTGCCATTTTGTCGTTCGTAAAGTTGGCGCGTTTTTCGTTCTCGTAATATTTTTAATATTTATCTATTGATAGAAATGAGTTGTGTTTGTGGATTATTCTAGACTATTCAAGAATAATTAAATAATAAAGAAAGCATGAGTGATCTGCTTAAGAGCAACTGTTGTCGGTTTTTTGACCGGGTCAGGTGCAAAAGGTAAGTTCGAATAAGCCCGAAGTTTTGCGCGTTTGCTCACACAATTTACAGTCCAGACGGTAGTTAGTTTTCAAAAAAAGTTATAATTTTTAAAACTAAATACATTGGCCAAAATAAAACAATAAATGACACTTAGATTTAAATCCAAAATGTCCGCCGTTGCTTTAAATTAATTTTCTAATTGACAAGTTTTTTAGACACGGCCAAATTCGATCTCACTACCTTTGCTGTTTACGTAAAAAATAGAATAGAAAATTCTTTATTCCAGTAAACTTCATTTAAGCAATTTTCAGTAGTCATAGTTTTTTTTTTAATCTACCGCTCATTCAGAAAGCTGTCTCATCACAAGAGGAACGAGGAAGACAATTTGGGTGGTGCTCTTTTAAATAATTGTTAAATCACTGGACCTAGAATCTCTTCAATATTTTATATATATTATATGATAAAAATGTAGATAAAAGTATGACCCAATACACATATAAAATATATACATACATAGTTTAACGAGATCTGAATATAGCACAATCCAATACACTATTCTATTGTAACAAGCGGAAGTGACGTCACAGCGTCGCCGCTTTCAAAGCATACCGATGTTTACGATACAAGTTGTGCGCCCAAAATCACTGGCTTGTCTTAAAATTATAGGGGTGTGGACACATAAACGGGTGAGTAAAGTGGAAATTCAATCCATAAAGTTTAAATAAAGTACCCATAAAGTCGACTCAACGACATTTTCGGTAGAGTTGCCCAACTTACCTCAATACGTACAAAACACTCCAATACCCGAAACATGTATAGTCGTAAATATTTGTATTCCTTCACAAAATTTGACATTATAGTGACCGATGTTAGTGAATAGGTTGTGGCAAAATAAATTAATAATCAAGTACAAAATAATGTATTTATATTATTTTGTCTAATGTCACTAGAATTAGCATATGTGAGTTCACAAATATTCAGTGCGGAAACTTGGCGGATTTATTATACAATTATGTATATTACAAAAACATTTAAATACATGTATAATATTTATTAAGCAAGCCATAGATATGTCCATATTCTTAGGGAATAACCACATATTTTATTTTATTATTTTATCTCAAATACGAAATATGTATGTAAAAGGACTCAAAGGAAAAAATCTAAACTTTTCTGTTTATAATATTAGTTTCTGAAATTGAATATAAAAGAGTAAAATGTATTATTTTCATCTGAGAAACTAACAAGTAAATTGCGCATTTCATAGTAGCCAACACAAATCACATTAAGAAAGTATTTCGTAAAGAGTGTAGAGAAAAAAGTGATATATCAAAAGAATTGCTTCGGATCCTGAAAACAAATCCCAACAGCAGTTACGAGAGTCATGTGCGAGTTTGTACAAAAGTGCTATTTATTGAGTTTGTCAGCCAGGCCCGACTAGGGTCGTAGCGATGTTGCTAAGCTAAGAATTGGGACCATGCTCTGTATATATTTGGGCTAAGTGTTGCCACTTTTACGAAGTCCACTAACTGAACGCAATCTTCGCTACGACCACCACAATATTATAAATTTGCACTAAAAATTATTCAGTTCATATTTAGTTTAATTATATAGTAGTAATAGTAGACTTTCTATTAGTGAAGTTTAGTATTTAATAACCTTTTCCATTAAGTAGCTTATTGTGTGTCTTTAATTTGGTATCAATAATTTTTTTTGTTAAAAATAATTCAACGCCCGAGCTCTGAGAAGTCATGGTGAAATTAGTAAGATAGCAACACTGACACCCTTATTGAATGTAGTATTCATGAACGTATAGGTGAGGTTTTAAGCACTCCGTTAGTTGGCGGGACGCCAGCGGATTTGTTACCTGCGGGTAGCTCGCTGACACCGAAGTGTGTATCGCATAACTTTCTTGGCTAGCGTTTCAATTTGGTAAACTTTTTGTAACTGTCATAAACAACGCACAAATGTGTATGGTACACAGAAATAGAGGGAAAAATGCCCAATATATTTTACAAAATGCCTTTCCCTGCGACTTCATCCATATGGCGATGAATTACCGAAAAATAGATATAGAATCTTTAGACAAATAAACTTAATATAAGCACTTTTGAATAGTCACATTTTTTTAATTCTACCATCATTCGGAACGCACTCATCACAAGAAGAACGGACAAGAATCTTGCATGTTGCTAACGAGTAGAAGGCATGCGGTAATCAACATAGAAACCGATACACACTCATTCTTTGTTTAATCAGAATATTTGTCAACACTATGAATTTTAAGTTTTTAAGAGATAAAACTATGTGATGTTTTTCTCCATCTCAAAAATATTTTAAATCATTACAAAATTAGAAATAAGGTAAATTGAAATTTGAATGTGCCTATCTATCTATCCATAGGTACTATTATATCTACTAGTACTAGTACTAGTTTATATCTGCTTAGATTAGTCGTTCTGTGATTTGTCTTGTGCTTTTTTATTCATTTCATTACACTATTAAGTTATGAATAATAAGATTACGACGCCTAAAATAAATAAAATATGTATAATAAAATAATATCTGCAAATATAAAGCGTAATATTAAAATATATATAAAATAAAACGGATAAATGAAAAATGATCTGTTTCGCGAGAAGACGATTTATTCTTCCTTTGACATT